AAAATTTAGAAGTCTCATTTATTTTTAGTTAGCGAACTTGTCAATGACCATACAATGGTAATTATTCGTACTATTTACCTTCAATTGCTTATTTTATATCTTCATCGCAAGCAGTATTTTCGTTTTTTAAGATAATCCAAAAAATGATAAACAGCAAAGAGTATTTCAATTTGTTAGAAGTAGTAAAAATAAAAGTCTACTTTACTCGCAGTTCTAACGTTTCAATTCAGCTATTTTTCAAGTAGAAATTATGCAAGATCGAAGATCATAGTTGAAGTTGGAAATAAATTTCGTGAATGGCGAGATTAGGAAAGAAAAAGGAATTGTTAAAAATCTTTGGCAATTATATGTGGAAACGAATGTCACGAAGCAGTGGCTTTTAGCACGATAACTATCCCACAGGGCCATCAGCTTCCGGCGAATGTGCAATTTGTATGAAACGACGCGCTCGTAGTTTTAATGGCGAACAACGATTCAGTGCTCTCATAAATCCGCTCGTATCGCCCATAATTAATGACGCATCGCGGTACCTGAAATAATGAGCTATGTAGAATCCATCATAAAACCCTGTGTGACTTGAATTTCGATATTAAACCAAAATAGGCCCTTCGTTAACAGAAAAATGTTATACCTTTGATAATTTAATTACGAATATTATTTTCACGAATTAATATGAGATTTATAGGAATATGAATATGAAATCATATGGTTATTTTTCATCATCATACCTAATTGGAATTGATATTTCACAAGTGAAACTAATGAATTTCACATTTGATAAATATTCGATTTTAACATTTGCGTAATTAGCGTAATTAGTATCTGAACGTTCAAAGAGCGAATGACTTATTTCTATAAAGATATTTGTTTGAGAGAAGTGGCGCGAATAACTATAAATGTGTAAATTCTTTACTTTTATAATTTATGCAGTTAATCAGTGTGACTTTTCAGTGGTTTAATTGGTCACTGCGGTCGTTGTGAACGGTGCTTAAAGGTAGTTTGCGGCCTTGCCTTTACCTTGGCTCGAACGTTTCTCGCGGCCCTTGGCCACGTCAGTTATAGGAGCGCGAAAAAGGTCAGTCGACTGACGTCTAGCGCTTAATTTGTTTACACGAACACACCGGTCGTGTTCAACGTAGACGCCAGCGATGCTGGCTGTCGTAACAGCATTCGGAACGCTGTTAACCATGTCCGGATTCGGAGAAATCTTCTGCAAAATAATTTTCTTAAATTAACTTCCTAAAAAGGAAGAAAAAAGGGAGAAATTCCATAAAGATCTTCAAACGTCAATTAATTTTAATCCAAAATCATACATAGTGTCTCGGAACATCCAAAGTCTCGATACACCTAAAAATTCACGAAAATGTCACTTAACAAGTAAACCATTCAGCAACCATGTTAAAATCATTGAAAGAACTAGACAAAAGCGACGATGTTACGAACACTACTTTCTTAAATTTATTTAAAAATCTATTATCACGTACGTATGTCTTCCGAAGATAAATGTACATATGAAGGTATCTACGATAAGTGTCAAAAGCGAGTATGCACCTTAAAGACCCGAAATTCATGCAGCAACTCTTACACATATGTTGCATAAATTGCAAATTGATTGAAAAGATATAAAATATGTGGGAATTGTTATTTTTGAATCTCACTGTATGCAATAAAACTATGAAATTCATAAGAAATAAAATCAGCCAGTTTGATTCTTGAGAGAGAGGGAGAGAGAGACAAAGAGAGAGATAGAGAGAGAGAGAGAGAGAGAGTCAAATTTGTCCAGCCAGATCGTATTGTATAATTTAGTATGTGCGTCGGGTAGCCGATATTTTCGAACGAACGAGCAATATTATTTTCGAATGTACGTCGATAGATGGTGGTTTGTCCCGAAATTCGCGTCAATTATGTACTTTATCGAGGACGCCAATGTAGAACAGCGGATGGCTTTCAGTAGAACGAGTCGACGCATGGTCAGACAACCGGCTGGGATTTCGCGACTAAAGCAACTTTGTGTGCCGCGAACGAATTTAAACGAAACACAATTGCCCTTCATTAGCCAGGCTAATTGCCGGCGGAGACCGAACGTGCCCTAGTTAAATCGTAGTTCGTAAACAACGCTAATCAGTCGTCGTGTAATTATTGGAGCTTCGATGGAAAGGCACGCGTTTAGCCAGGCCGACTGGAAAATTCGTCATCGTGCTACTTGTGATTTTACCATCTACCACGAGATAAATAGTTTTTGAGTAAATATTCGCATTGAAGATTGCGTCGTTCAACGATTGTTTAAGTGAATAATGCTTATATGAAAATCATAATTTACGTACTAGATATTGGGTAATTAACACTAACCTTACCAGACACGGTCAAATGATTGGTTTGGAAATTTAAATTTAAAATTATACCTTCATAGTTGTTTATTTTGTTCGTCTAACTTTATGTAAATTATTATATTAACCAAAATTGAGAAATTAGTGTGAACGAAGGAATATAGTAAGTAAATAACTTTCGTGTTAAATATAGGATAAAACTAGTGAGCGATTTATTACAATATCTTGTTACTTGAACAATGAATTGAACCACGCAGTTAATACTAGTATCTTGGTCATTCATATTCATATTTGTAGCCAAGGTATTTTGGAAGCAAACACATTACAAAGTTGGATAGGCATAGTTACAAAACAAATTATATGTCAAGGGTGTAATAGTTTGGTAAACACGTAGCTTTCAACATCATGGCGAAAATTCAATGAGAGGAGGTTACATCAGGAATTTCATTTAAGTCGAAATTCGAAGAGACACGTTTGATTGAAACGTCACGTCGCGTCCTGTTGTCTGCTCAAGCGTACATGCAGATATTCAGAATGGAAAAATTTAATAAAAATGTTATATTCTATTGTACATTCTACTTTCATGAACCGATCATTTGCAATATCTGCGAGTGTTATACTTTTGAAATTCCAAGTCGTCGTCCTATCTAACAGGAAAAGTAAAAATTAAAAGAATGAAACTTTTTAAATCGAATATTGCGGAAAAGTTAAATGTATTTTTTCGAAAGTTTTCAGAAACTTTCTACAAACTTTTAATTAAATCGCAAACAATGATTCGCAGCAATACGATAATATACGAGATTCGGAAGCGGAAATAAACGAGTAGGAAATCACAAGCAGCACTCGCGAAAAATTGTTCGACTCGGATACATCGATTTTTCATGAAATATAAAGGTACAATGTGTGGTCGTCAATTACGTTATTTCTATCGTCCATTACTATTTCGATGCCCGCGTCTACTTATAAAACGCTGATCTACTTTAAAGTAGAAAAAAAACGTCGTTCATCTTCTTTATTAAAATGCTAATATTTAAACGCCAACAGCCAGTGGAATTTCTCGCTCGTTCTTGTCCATTCATTTATCAACGGGACACAAAAGAATTTAAAAAGATATAAAATGTGATCCAAAAGTTTCCTTTGTCCCTGTCAGAATTATATCGCCGATTTTCTTAGTAGATTTTCCGCATGTTGTGGCAGAAAGAATTCCTGATACTTCTAAAAACTTCCATCGAGCTCGGTCAAAGGAACCGCCACTCAAATTTTATTTGATCGCTTTAACAATCAGTAAAAAAAAAAAAAAAAAAATTGATACAGTGTTGACGTTTACGGCAATTTATATCTCTATGAACCTAATTAGTACGTAATTTAAATATTACACGTAATTAGAGCGGAAATATTTATATAATTTGACATTTTTTCACATTGCAAATATTCTATATTTCCTTAGTATTTTTAAATATCATAGTGGAAATTTCTTTATTTGTTTAATATGTTTTTGCACCTTTAAATGGATAAAAAGTTTAGTTATAATTAATAAAATAAAAGTTTAGTTATAATTAATAAAATACTATATTTCAGACCTCCTATATTTTTCATACACTGCGTGTTCTATGCATTTTCTTAGCTTTAAACGTTCCATAAATTCATAAATATCAACGGCTTGGTTACTAATTTCTTTGAAAAATATAGAAAATAAAGCAAGGTAAAATAAAAATGAAAATGTCGTCAGCCGACGAGGGCGTTGACACGGAATTTGCTGTAAAGCCGACTCGTTTGGTGTTCCACGATCGCTTTCGAGTTCGCGACGAACAAACGGCTGGCTAATTATTCGCTGAATAGGATCAAGGGACGAGGGAAAGTGGAAGAGAAACGTGAAAGGCTGTGAGAGATTTTCCCAGGGACAGAAAAGCGACGGGAATGTTCTATAAGGGATGAAAAGAGCTAGGTTGTTTTTAACGTCGCCTAGCAAAGTCATAGTCTGACGTTTTATGGTTTTGAGAGATTAATGAAATAAAGTCGCGTAGCCAAAAAGCAAATTAAAAATTCGTTATTAAAAAATTCACGAAAAAGATACACCTAACAATGAATTGTACGATATGACCCAAGTTGTGAAAAATATATAAAATCATCTCTCAGTGGATCATTCTTTCCCCGCTATTCTACGTAGAAAAGTAGATATTAATAGAAAAATATATACTCGTTATTTCTTTTTATACTTATTAATGTGTTGGTATTTGTTAATATAAAAATATATACTCATACTAATATACATGTACATTTCTACTCAAACAAGTAGAGTAAAAGAGCGATGAGAATAATATGGTGCTGGAAAAATATTTAGTTGAAATCGTTCATTATCCATTTGTTTTGTAAGATTTTTCATTAATTACAACGAAAGGAAAATAGATCATTTTATATGTTACTATATGCGTAAGGGTGAGATTATTTGTAAAGAAAATTATGTAATTACATAATCTATAGTACTACATCATTACAATAACGTGAAAAAGTATCGTTCTAGAAAAATCGTAAACTTTCGTTCATCGTCAATTTTACCTTAAAATTTCTTTCTAGCTCTAACTAGAAAGCAATGTATTATTTTGCATATTGCTATATTGTGTATTATATTTTAATATAATAATTAATCTACGTGTAAAGTAGCCGTGTATTTACCTGTAAAAGTATGAACAACCCCTAACGCTGTTGTGAGAGAAATGTTCGGCGTTCTTCTCGTTGCCGAAATCCTCCAATGGATCCGACCAGAGCAGATCGCACATCGGCCCATACGCCGGCGGCTCTTTGAACCTGTCCAACTGAAACAGCAAAATCAACATCGATCGAATTAGTCGAAGGAACAGGTTTCTCTGATGCAGTCATCGTGTAAACGCGTCACGTGTCTAATTATCTAAACGCTCGAATGTAGCGAGGACTCGTTGCTCCAAGCTTCTAATTAACGCGGCTGTGTGTTTTGACATCGACATGTGTACCTCTACCATAATCATTTCTGATTAACTCCGGAAAATCATCGGATCCAATATCCCATTTCCCAACAGCTTTATCATATAACTAACTTAGAATCATGTAGCAAGGCGAAGATGTAAAAATAATTCGAGATTTGTTTGCCAGAAATATCGAGTTATAATATGCAACAGTTGCTTGTCAATAATATTCTTCTTATACGTGGCCTAATAGAAATAAATGTACGAAATAAGACGAGAATAAGAAACGTTCGAATAAAATGATATCACGTTTTCAATTCAATGTGAATGTATAAATATGTTTTAGTTGTATGAATAATTTTGTTAGTTGGAGGAAAACTCCGAGAAAGAAACGTGTAATGCAACAGTTCTCTTGCATCGATCCATGAAATGCATAAAATTTACTCCACGGTATATCGATCGATATTATTTCATGTTATCTCGCGATATCCTCTTCCACCCCTAAACGTGTTATACGTGTTAAACGTCCAAACATTCAAGTTCTCCTAGAAAATTCGATTTTTCTAATTAAGCAATAGTAATAATTTTATTAATTATTTAGTTTATTTATCCACCAATGGCGACAATATTAATTTTCCTGATTAAACGACAGATATTGAGAATTTCTCACGAACGCGCCAACATCCGTAGTCAACTCGAATAAACACAGTAACCATTTCTCTCTGGAAATCGATATGAAAACTACTGAATCGAGTTCCGATGACAAGGAACTCGACTATGAGGTTCGCGTGTCACTTAATTGCGCGTTATTTAATTTACTCGCGATCGAGGATTCGTTTAAAATACCCTGTGAAAGAGAAAAATGAAGAAGAGGAGGAGGAGGAGGAAGGAGAGTGGTTTACGCTCTCTCGATGGAGAAACTAGGTAGACGAGCCACTTATTTACTCGAAGGAGACACACACACACACCTATAAAAACACACACAGACGGACAGCTAGGAGGAGAGCAGATTCGCTTCTGGAGTGGTGTTTCCGCGTCATAAAGCATTCACGAACTCTGGCCTAGATTTATTCCGGGCTTGTGTCGAACCGCTCGTTGGAATCAAAGAAAAATCAGAGAAATTCCAACCCGGTAACTTTTACTCTGCCTCTCGTTCGAACGGTTACCGAAAAAACCACGCAAAGACACATCTCACAGGAAGGGAAGAAAATTTTTTAAATATTTCAACGATATCAGTACGATATCGGACAGCTAACGCCCTATTTTTCCCATGTTTCGCTCTTCAACTTTCTATTATATTCGTGTTTCACTCTCTTGTGTGTTCTATCGAGCGTAAATATAACGAAAAGAGAAAAGGAAGAGATAGTTTGGAAAATATTGAGATTCAAATATTTGGAAATTAATGGAAAAAAGTTAATTTTAATGCAAGAGTTGATGGTTGCTTGACTAACTGGATGTTTACGAGACGAAACAAATTTAACAACAATTAGCGTTGCAAAGTTTCCATCGCGAAATAAGAACAAGAAGAGTAGGTAGAAATTGATGCAGAAAATGGCCGTCAATCAATTTCCACAGTCTCTAACTATAAAGCATCTGAAGACTCAAGTATCAGAAAATTAATAAAAATAATTGAATTTTGGTCGAAGATCTGAAGTTCCTTTGATTAATTATAAGATAAAATAAATTTAGCAGCAACTCTCATCGCGAAATTTTCATCGTGAAATAAGAAGAAGAAAAGTAGATCAAAATTAATGTAGAAAATCCCCGTAAATCAATTTCCAAGCGTAAAATACAAAGCATTTAAAGATTCAAATATTTGGTGATTAATTAAAATACTGAAATTTTGCTTTAAGATTTGACGTTCCTTTGATTAATTAGAAGATAAAATAAATTTAACATCAACTTCCATTGTAGACTTTCTTCCATCGCGAAATAAGAAACAAGAAAAGTAGATGAAAATTAATCTACAAAATCTCCATAAATCACTTTTCAATCTCAAAGTACGGAGTGTTCAAAGATACGAATATCTGACAATGAATTCAAAGAATTTAATTTCGGTCGACGATTTGGCGCTCCTTTGGCCAATTACAGGGTAAAATAAACTTACCAACAACTTTCATCGCGAAGTTTTGCATCGTGAAATCAGAACAAGAAAGGTAGATGAAAATTAATGAACAAATTCTCAGCTATAAAATGCAAAGCATCTAAAGAAAATGAAAAAAAGCCCCTGAAAATTCGGTATATATCTTGCGATTACTTGTAAACTAACGTAAACTTGACAGCAAATAGAAACGAAAAGAAGAGACTGGACGAACAGGAAAGGGAAGTGGTTTACAGAGGCTCTCGGCGTCGAAACGTTTCCAATAATTATCCGGTCGTAATTACCCAACTACGAGAGCTGACTTAACGTTGACGTATCGACGTTGTCTCAGTGTTTATCGTGCAGCGGAGACCTCAGTCGTGGACTACAAGTTTTGATCATAATGGGTAACGCTAATTATGTTCAATGGCATTAGTTCTCAGCGCACAGTGGCTGGCTGCGTGTGCCTCACGCACATGGCTGCAAGTATGTATGTATATATATATACACAATATATGTGTATGTATATGTGTATATACACACGTACACGAAGGAAACGAGAATACAGTTTACAGTGTAACGAGCAGTTCGCACCTAATAATAGCAAACGTAATATTACCGGCGTTATTACCCTTGCCAAAGTAGCTTCGTCGTTTTCGCCACTAAATCTGCTTTAACTTCGAAACGATCGAATTGGACGACGAAGTTGATTGCATTCCATTGGTATTGCCGGTGTAAATTGTCGCGTTTGTCCCTTTGGGAAAGGAAATTTCGACGGAGGATGGTAGATTATTGAAATTCACTGAGGTTGAGAAATTAAAAATCGGCAACCTGAATTGTTGTACTGTTTTCTTGGAAAGAGAAAATGCGACGGAGGATGGTGGATTATTGAGATTATTATTAGAGTAGGGAAATTTCAAATCTGAAATTGCTGCGTTGTTCCGAATCAGAAACAGTTCTGAATCTGAAACATTGTGTTGGAAATAATGTATTATGTAAATTTAAGCGTTATTACTCTGGAGAGTAGAATCGAGGTGTATTATTAAATTATTAATGGTAGATCGTTGAAATTATTAACGTGGAAAGAATTTAACACTTGTAGAACTCCGGTAGTTTATAATTACGTTTGCATAATCTGGCGGTAGAAAGGTAACAAATTTCAATAATAAAAATATTCATAGTTTTTAAGTCGTTTCTTTTGTGTCGCCTTATTTTACTTTCATTTTATTACAGTTAAATTCAATTAAATCCCATAAAGGGAAGTTTCTAATTTGCATGAAAAAATTTTTTAATTAAGAAGGAAGAGGTGTTTCTGCGTGCGCTTTAATGAAATAATAAGCGATTTTAAAAAGATAGCGCCAGTCATGTTGGCGCGCGCCGCGTCTGACTAGACGCGTTCCCTTTTCACTTACTTCATCGTCACACGCGTACACGCTGTATTTGGAATTAAAGATCTAGTTTATCGATAATTAATTATGCCAATTTAATTATGTAATTAATAATCACCTTGTCGATAGTAGTGAGAAGATCATACGGATTATGCTGTCAAGAATACTAAAAGGTATGTTTTAAAATCATAAAAAATACTATAAAGGCGTGGTGAAAAAAATTGCAGCAATAAAAATATATGCCCGAAGAAAAGAATTACAAACGTAGAAAAACCGGGGGAAAATATCAAAAAAGTTGTTGCAGTAATTAAAATGGGGGAAAATGTTAAAAAAGGAGTTGCATTAATTAAAACAGGAAACGAGACAAAAAATAATATGTAAGAGAATTAAAATAGAAATTGTGGCAATAAAGAACGTAGTATAAGAACACAAAGAGAGAACGGAAAAAAAGGTTGGAAGTAATAAAAAAATATACCAGCAATAAGTAATTGCTGGTAGTAAAGAAAAAGAGCAACATATGTCGCTACATGTATCGCACTAGTAAGGAAGATAACTGAAAGAAACGCTAAAAAATAGAATTGGAAGAATAACAAGTAAGCGATAGAAAGAGAAAAGATGTGAGAAAGCAAAATACCAATTTGAAATAAGAGAACGGCGTATAGGTGTCTACTAAGAAGGAAGAAGAATAAAAATATACAAGGGCGCCACTAAAAAAAGAAAGTTGCAAGCGATATATCATAACTCTTCTCAACTTTCTGTCAGTTCGCACCAACATCATAAACTTCGACGTTCGATCGATCTTTACGGTTTTATTAAATTTCTCCCACCAGCTACGACTATACGGACTATACTCAACATAATCGTGCTAGTCTACCGCAAGCATATTGCACGTGACAACGTCCAAGTCACGTTAAGAAGTTCTATCCGGATGACTGCCAATTGGTACACCGTACAAAATATGTATAATCGTGTGTTGCGGTGGAATTTCTCGGTTAGCCGAACGAAATACGACGAAAAAGAGGCGGCGACACAACGGGCGAATCAGTGGCCAAAACATTTGCCATTGGGCAACGTTCCCGTATCGCGTTTTCTCATCCTCGAACTACAACCACGCGTACGACATCCGCAATTCTACTTTTACCTGGCAGCCAAGCCAACAATCGTGTATTATCTGTTGTAAATTTTCGTAGTGACAGCCGTCAGAAGCAATCAGCGATCGTAATACACGTGTACCGAATACATACATACGCGCTTCAGGTGATTTTGGTGGCAACGGAACAATTTTGGCATTTTTTATTACGTTCATTTTGCTCAACTAGAGATATTATGGCATGCCACTACTGTGATCAACTTATACGAAAGCTGCGAGGCAAAATCGCAAAATGTAAAATTTCAAATTGTTACTT